CCCTCCCAGGATCCCGTTTTTCAGCCCAAAGACGAGCTAAGCGATCTTCCCTGCTTTGCCTGCTTTTCTCATTGCCGCTCCCTCCGACAATCAGCTGTGCTTTAGAAGCACAGCCCCCATCATCCCCAACCTCAAAACCAGCCAGTGAACTAATGTGCTGAAGCTGACCAGGCTAAGGATTAGCCAGATGAATACCTGGTAGTCAGAATTCCCCAAAAATCTAAGGTGCGTCTTATACTCCGGTGCGTCTTATACTCCGAAAAATATAGGAGTGTGCAGATCATCTGAACCAGATCAGCCACCGTTTCCAGAATCGGAAATAAGAATATATTTTACTTTTGAGTGTTGCTTAGCAAGACATTCAGAACGGATCGCTATTCTTAAATCAGCCTGTTTGAATTTGATGGAAAACAGTGGTGCTTAGTCAGCTATACAAAGAGAGTGTTAAAAGGAAGATTGAAGAGAGCCATCTGTGATGACCAGAGGGTGTCATCGACATGAACTCCGAGTCCTCTTGGGTCAGCATATCGGACCTTCTTACAGTTTCAAAATTAAATCTAGTCCAGAATCATCCGGGGAATTATTATGCTGCCTCGGAACCCTTTGTCCTGCATAACGGCATTTGAACTCCGAAAACCCTCCCACAAATATGTTGGTCAGGCTGTCAACAAAAGCAAAACAGAAACCGTTCACAGGCATGTTGATCAGGCTGTGTAATGGGAGATTGTAGGAGTTTGTGTTTTCACAAATGATCGTCTTACTTCAGATTTTCCTGTATTTCGCTCTGCAGTACTACCCTGTTTCCCTGGAAATAAGCCCTCCCCGGATACCAAGCCCAATTGGGCTTTTGAGTACATGCACTAAAATAATCCCTCTCCGAAAATATTGCAACATAGCAGCAGCCGTGAGGTGACCACGCTCACCGCCTCCTGCACCATAAAAATAATAAGACCTGCCCAAAAATAAGACCTAGCCCTTATTTCGGGGGGGGGGTGTCAAAAGAAAATAAGACCCTGTCTTATTTTGGGGGAAACACGATATATGCAATTATGGGAAGTCCTCGACTTATGACTACAATTGAGCCCAGCATTTCTGTTGCTAAGCGTCATGCTTGTTAAAGCCCGTTTCACCCTGTTTTACGATCTTTCTTGCCACCGTTGTTAAGTTAGTCACACGGTTGTTAAGTGAATCGCTGCAGTTGTTAAGTTAATCAGACGGTTGTTAAGGAAATCTAGCTTCTCCCTTGACTTTTCGTGTCAGAAAGTCGGAAAAGGGGATGATATGACACACACACACACACCCCGGGACACTGCAGCCGTCATAAATACGAGTCAGTTTTGCCAAGCAACTGGATTTTAATCACGTGACCATGGGAAAGATAAGCGTGAAAACCAGTCATGAGTCCCTTAAGTGCCGTTGTAACTTCGAACGGGTCACTAAATGAACCGTTGTAAGATGAGGACCACCTGCACTTGGCTTCAGAAGAGTGTACAGAATCTGGTTGTACAGTATGCGCGCCCCTAGGCATAGCAGTACGCCCCGTTCTTTCAATAGTTTAATCAAAACTTTCGCCTCACAAATTCAGTCCGTTTCTTGTGCCCATTAATGTTCACTGTCTCATATTATATGTTATAAGAAATCTTTCCTCGTACCTAAAACAGTTTATCACTGTTTGCCTCCTTTGTAAACACAATCCTCTCTTACTTCAATTGTCTTTCGGCGAGGCACTGTTAGTAGGCTGAATCTAGAGCTTTTGTTGAACTTAACAAAATCAAGCATTAGCAAATCTCCAATTTAGGCAATGTGGCAATGCAAAAAAAAATACTCCCAGTATGTATACATAACAACGTGTTTGACGTTCTTAAGACTCCGGGATCTGGTTTGTTAAGACAGAATATGATTTGTTTGAATTTGGGCTCAAGTATGTCGTCAAGGGCCAGTTATTATGATTTCAAAACCATAATTGATTGCTTAGCCTTTTGGGTCAACCTATCAGATTGTTTAGAGCCGAGGTGGCGCAGTGGTTAGGGTGCAGGCCACTTTAGCTGACTGTTATCTGCAGTTCAGTGGTTCAAATCTTAACCAGCTCAAGGTCGACTCAGCCTTCCATCCTTCCAAGGTGGATGAAATGAGGACCCAGACTGTGGGGGCAAGTTGCTGACTCAATTTGCTAAAAAATTTGTAAACTGCTTAGAGAGGGCTAAAGCCCTATGAAGCGGTATATAAGTCTAATAAATAAATAAATAAATAAATAATTTTTCGGTTTTTTTTCTTTGGTGGGTTAGGTGCTACTACAGCAAGAATGGAAAATTCTCTGGTAATATATTGAATTAAATTTAAGCTATGGATTTGCAATTTAGATTTCATAATTTATTCGAAGAAACCCTGGTTGATCAACTTAACTGTCTTTTTTTTTCCCTTTTCAAACGGCATTCCTTCCAGCTATTTTTCACCGACAATTTTTGATCGGACCAATCCAAATTATTTAATTGTTTTTTCTGATATAGCATTAGCTTTCCTCTCCCTTGTAATTCAATTTGCCAAGGCAATGTCAGTGGGTCGCTGGGATTTTATTTATTTACTAGTTGATAATCCGGCGTATTCAGGTATTTATTTATAGGGGGGAAATATCCTGACCAAACATAATTTCTAATGTTGGATTTTCCCCCTTACTAGAGGGAGCCCCCTTGTGGAGTACTGTGAAACCATTACCATGGCAACTCCACAGAGATGTAGAGTAAAAGTCATTTTAAGGCAGTACAGTAAAAGCCATTTTAAGGCACAACAGGCTGTATCTTAACAGAACACACATCCCGAGGAGTGCCAGGGGTTTCTTACCCCTATAGTATTTTTTTCCAGAGAGTAAGTCATTTGTGTACCAAGCTTGGTTGAAATTGCTTGAAGCATTCCAGAATAATGCTGGAACATACACACAGACAGACACAAACACACACACACATTCATGTGTGTGTGTGTGTGTGTGTGTATGTATGTATGTATGTATGTATGTATGTATGTATTGGTCGTCTTGTATTCGGGTCTTTTCCTGTGTAAGATTGAGATTGTCTTGGCAACGTTTTGGCGAGGTCTCACTCGCCATCTTCAGGCTGGTATGGTGAGTGAGACCTCGCCGAAACGTTGCCAAAACAATCTCAATCTTACATGGGAAAAAACCCTAATACAACAAGACCAGCACATACATACATACATACATACATACATACATACATACATACATACACACATACACAATTTATATAGCCAGCCACTACATAAACAGTGACTCCAGTTGGATGTGTTCTCATTATCCTAAGTTAAATCTGAATGTACCCAAGCTAGTATCTCTTGGATTTGGGAATCCTTCAACGAAAAACGTTATTTGCAATCTTTTGACTTGCTACCTTCTGAATATCCAAAAATGTCGCATTTCTTGCTTTGCGATGGCTAAGGATGGCTTAGTGATTTTCCATCTGAACACTTTTGCAGTAATATTTGAGATGGCTAAGGAGTTGTCTCATGCCTTAGTGATTTTTCATCTGAATTCCTACAGTAGTTTGTTGACTTCTTTTTTTCAACCTTTGCTCTGTCCTGTAATTTGTGTGGTTGCGATCTTTTCCTGATTCACTTATTATATTGACCAGGTCTTAGGAAGGGTTTTGCTGGTTCAAAATTAAGCGCTGACCTTCCAGGCAGTGTGTACAGGTAATCCTCGACTTAACGGCCAGATGTTGAGCCCAACATTTCTGTTGCAAAGCGAGTCATTTGTTAAGTGAGTTTTGCCTTTCTCGCCAGAGTTGTTAAGTGAATCACAGCTGTTGTTAAATTAGTAATACAGTGGTTAAGTAAATCTGGCTTCCCCATTGACTTTGCTTGTCGGAAGGTCGCAAAAGGTGATCGCATGACCCCTGGGACGCTGCAACCGTCGTAAATATGAGTCTGTTGCCAAGCGCCTGAATTTTGATCACAGGGTCATGGGGATACTACAAAGGTCATAACTGTGTAAAATGCTCCTGAGTCACATTTTTTAGTGCCGTCGTAACTTTGAACGGTCACTAAACGAACTGTTGTAAACCGAGGATTGTCTGCACTTGCTTGTAGCCTATTACCTGAACCATTAGGCCAAACTGAACTGAGACATTTAGTTACTTAAGATGCTTACATGTGAAAACAAACTGTAAGGATACTCCTATATCTTTAAGGCGTGGTTTGATAAGGCTATATTTCTATAGGAGTAAATTTAATGATAAACAGATGAGACTAGAAGGTGGCAGTGTATGCAATAATGAAGAAATAGTTATTTTTTTATTTTTTTAAGAAAACTATATTAATAATGACTTGGTCCATTCAGAAATTCAGAAATTAGGTTCTTGAAAAGCCCTGCACAATATTAAGAAATATTGTAAATGGAATAAAATGCAAAGACAAAAATGATTTTGTTATTAATTTTTCCATATGTTTTCATATTTTTCAGGTAAAGTTCGCAAACACTACATTTAAGACAGATGTCTATCCCAAATCTCTCAACCCTCAGTGGAACTCGGAGTGGTTTAAATTTGAGGTAAATAGACACGGGCATACACAAGCACACATCCTAATAAACAGAATTTATCGATAGGCTCCAAGGAAAAATTAATTATTAATTGTGAGTCTGGCAAACCCAATTTTGTGTGTTTGTGTGATTTGTTTCTGAATATGTATCAATATCAGCAAGCCCAATATCCTGATTCTTCTCAAGAGAATTATGCAAACTGGGTGAAATTGTTGTTGTTAGTTGCAAAGTCGTGTCCGATCCATCGCAACCCCATACACAATGTTCCTCCAGGCCTTCCTGTCCTCTACCATCCTCTGGAACCCATTGAAACTCACGCTGACTGTTTCAGTGACTCCATCCAGCCACCTCATTCTCTGTTGGCCCCTTCTTTTGCCCTCCTTTTTTCCCAGCATGAGGCTCTTCTCCAGTGAGTCCTTCCTTCTCATTAAGTGGCCAAATTTTTTGAGTTTCACTTTCAGGATCTGGCCTTCTAAAGAGCAGTCAGGGTTGATCTCCTCTAGGACTGACTGGTTTGATCGCCTTGCAGTCCAAGGGACTCGTAGGAGTCTTCTCCAGCACCAGAGTTCAAAGGCCTTAATTCTTTGGCGCTCAGCCTTTCTTATGGTCCAAAAACTATGATATTTTAGATATGTCTTAAACCGCTCCATTTCTGGTGCTTTTGCTGGACCAAAAATGCACATTGAGGAATGGAAGCCGGGGGGGGGGGGGGGGGGGGGGAGAAAGCAGGAGGAAGATCTGTCGAAGTGGCTAAGGAAAAAAAAATGAAAAGAAAGAAACAGGGAAGATGGAGCTGGTAGGCTGGTTGGATAATGTCCTTGACTTCAAGAGGGCCCTGTCCTCCTCCTCCTCCTCCTCCTATCTCCTCAGGCTCTTTTTCCTCCCTCTTATTCTGCACATAAAGTCAAGTGAGGATGAGGATTTGACAGTGACTAAATGTCTCTGGAGAGTCTCAGTCATCCAGGTCATGGTTGCCCCAAAGGAGCTTTTTCAAAAGGCAGCTGGACTTTCTTACGGTTGTTCTTGAAGCTTTCTCATCCAAGAAACTTATTCAGTTCAATTCTGGCAGTTCTGATGGTCGGAACTGAAGAAGCTTCTTGGATGAGAAGCAAAACATCTTCAAAGAAAAACAAAGTAAGTCCAGTTGCCTTTTGAAAAAAAAAGCACCTTTGGGACAGTGGCCATAGAGAAAAGAAGACCCTGGGGAAATTGTGAAGAAAGGCCAGTTGCAAAGTTGCTGCCTCTGATGTCATTGGCTTTCAGACTTCCCATTTACAGTTTGGCTAGGCCTTGCCTTTCTCTCCTTCCCACCTTCCCTCCCCTTAGTTGACACCATAATGGGAGGTAGAGAGAGTAAAAAACATTGAAAATTCAGTGGACCGGATAACACACAGAGATCATACAGAGACGTGGCAAAAGGAGTGAGGTGATACCATCCTGGGCCTACTCAGCTTCTCCAGATGTTGTCTGCCAAAATCTGGAAGAACCAGCTGTTGTGTGGTTCGGTTTTTACCAGATTACACTTTTCCTGGAACAATTGGGCAGAACCTCTGTATTCATTTGGGGTCTGAAACAAAACCAATTTCTGTTGTTCAGGCGTACCTCTAAATGTCTTACACCTTAATTTCCTTGCCATGTTTGGAAATGTCACTCTGATAAAGAAAAAACATTTTGGAAATGTATGACAGGTTTAAAAAAAATACATTTGTGAAGGAAAAGAAACAGGATGTGGAGGAATATAAACGAGAGGAAATTCGTATTTATAAAAAAGGTTAACTTTTCGTCTTCGAAATTCCTACCCAGGTGCATTTTGTAGAAATTGTTATCCGTTGGAAAAACGGGGCATGATATAGAGTACTTTGCAATGATTTGGTTCAGCAGTGAGCCTACCCATTGGGGAGGGTGAGTCTTGCTCTTATATCTCAGAAGAGCAAAAGGTTGTGAGAAGATTAATTTAGAGTTCGTGTGAAGAAGCCGCAGGGTTAATCATATCCTTCCCCTAAACCTCCGGGTTTACTGGCATGATTGTAAGAAGTGACCAGATGCATTTACTATTGTTTTCGGCTTGCCAGCAGCTTATAGAGCTTGGAACAACTTCATTCAAAAGCTCCTGTTTTGTACTGCCAACTAGGCTGTGCCACATAATTAATGCAACAGCATCAGTTGGGATTTCGAGCCTATTCCAGTTCTTGATTTCAGTTGCTTCTGATAGAAAGATCCTGTTTGAACTGAACATCGACCCGTTGTTTTAAGCTCCCTGCTTAGGTCAAAGCTGTGTTCTTGAGTGCAAGAAAATAGCTTGCATTAGCATTTATGCATGACCTTGTGACGTGGGACCCATTCGAACATGACTAAACACCAGCCCGACTAATCTCCCTGTGGTTTTGTGCAGTTAAAACTGCGCATTGTATGAATAAGCGGAAAGCAAGAGTTGGGTGTTCCTTGTTTAGACAAATTATAAATGGAACTCGGCACGCTTTTTACTTCGCAAATGGCTCCGTTCGGTAAAATGTTGAAGCTTCGTTCTATTTCTTCCGTTTTCTAGGTGGATGATGAAGATCTGCAGGATGAGCCTCTCCAGATAACCGTCCTTGATCACGATACTTACAGTGCTAACGATGCTATTGGGAAAGTCTACATTGACATCGATCCTCTTCTCTACAGTGAAGCAGCTACTGTTATTTCGGGCTGGTTTCCAATTTACGACACCATACACGGTGAGATTCTCAATCGTTACGCAGGTAGTCCTCGGTTTACAACCCTAATGGAGCCTGCTCCTTGTGGTCGTAAGCCGTGAAGGTCTTAAAGTGGGTCATCACGTCACCAACTTAATTTTAGGACTTTTTTCCCCCCGGGGTTTGTAAGTGAATCACCACGGTTGTTAAGTGGATCTGCAGTCATTAAACCAATGCCATGGTCGTTAATTAAAGTGATTGTTTACTACAAACCGATTTGCTAAAAACAGGTTTTTGCTAAAAAAAAGAGAAATAAATGCTGGCTCTCTACAAAAATAGTAGTAGTAGTTAGACTTATATACCGCTTCATAGGGCTTTCAGCCCTCTCTAAGCGGTTTACAGAGTCAGCATATCGCCCCCCACAACAATCCGGGTCCTCAT